TTGCTGTATGCATTTTGAACGACGTGGAAAACCGTTTCGTTTAAATGCGTGATCTGCCGACAACAAAGGTAGGTGGAGGAAGATCAGCCGAGTGTTTGATGGCCCGATTATGGAATAGAGAGGGTGAAATGAAGCCATGCAATTTCTGCGAACACTCTCCGAAATGTATCTTGTAATCAACGAAAAGTTGACTACTTTGCCCCTGCGATCTAATCTGGTATGATTGGTTCTAGCCATAATATTGTGGTGTCAGCAATAAACCTCCAAGAACAACTTTCTATTTAGTCAGCGCTTTAATACATAATTACATAATCTTAAGTTTTTTTTTTCTTGGTGGCCATTATACTGCTTATGTCCTACTACTGTACGCCTCTTAATTAGTAATAAAAACATTCACAGAATGATCGAAAATCGAATTAGTAATTTAGGTGTTTCATTTAGCCTACCAAAAGAAAAATTTCTTTATTTCAGTAATAATATAGTCTGCCTGAATATCACATATTATAATGTTAGATGCTCCAATAATTTCGACCTTGTGAAAACTAAATAAAATTCAAACGATAGGAGAAGTCGCCTTTCTGTTATTTATCCCGCTCCTTATCAATTACAATTTCCGTAGAGCTTCACACAATTTTTCTGGCACACACATTCATTTGGTTTTATATTAATTTCAATATTAAAAGTTTGTGGCAAAGACATCTTATTTATAGTACTTTCTGTAAAATTGAGGAAAATGGAACACTTATGAAAAGCAGAAACTATTTCAAAGCTAAGTAAGGCATTTATGCGTAAATGTATGCACGCAAAAGAAGGGAGATAGGTGTGTTAGTGTTAGGATCGTGCCAAAGTCCCTGCTTACCCCTCTGAATGACGGCCGTGAGAATTTATTTTATATATACTAAAATAAATTTCACGTTTCACGTGGATGGTTTTAATTTGGCAGGATTATAAAATACTTATACACAAATACAGACGTGATAATAAACATTCTAATTTTCGAATTTTGAGGGTATAATTGAAGTTGCAATAATTAGATTATTTTTGGGTTATCCAATAATATCTAGTTAAAGCACCATTTTAAGAAAATATAAAAAGGGAATTAAACATCATTAACACCTATGAGGTGTTTAATAAATAAAAAGCCAAAGGCTACTGTGGCTACTGTGGCCAAATGGCTACTGTGGCTCATAGACATCTACATTTATCCTCGATTAAGAATCAAAACACAGATGCGTTGTCACTCCTGAGGACTAAGATGGAATGCCTCGTTTCCAGTAAAAAAGGTCTCCGGATCTCTACACTCACTATACGTAACACAGCAGTATTAAGCTGCTATTTTACGCTAGTATTCTGTGAGAATGTGGTTTGCAAGATGATGTTGTGACCAGGATTAAGAAAGGAATGCTTCGGTGGTTTGGTCATGTGGAAAGAATGAATGAGGAAAGAGTGACAAAGAAAATTTATGTTGCAGAAGTCAACGGCAGAGTCGGAAAGAGACATCCTAGGCGAAAATTTATCGACCAAATTGGCGATTTATTGAAAACCCAAATTAGGAGTACCCTTAACCGACGAGCATGTATGCATAGGTGTATGGATGCGAAGGAGGCGAGAGAGGCGTGTCAGGATCGTGCCAAATGGAAGTCTGTAGTCTCTGCCTACCCCTCTGGGTGACAGGCGTGAGTGTTTATGTATTTATGTATAATCAGTAACAATAAAGGGTATGCAATATGTTATTGTTTTATTTTAGAAGTTTTATAAACTATAGATAGAGTTCATGAACTATAATACTCGTTTTTGTAGTGAAAACTTCTTTAGAATAGTTGTAGTTGATTTGAAAGTCGATGAAACGAAACAACGACACTAAAAAGAGACAAACATATGCATCTATAGGATTTAGCCTGCGAGAGAATGTGACAGAAAACAGTACTTATACGAGTAGCGTAGTATTTATACGTGATAGAGCCACGCTGCAGCTATATTATGGTCGTAGCACGAATGGGTCGGCTCGACCGGGGTAGGATCACGCTCTCACAGAATACCATCGTAAAATTAGCAGCTTAATACTGCTGTATTTCATATGGTGATGGCATGTAGAGAACAGAATATCCTTTTTTATGCAAACATGGCATTCCATCATAGTCCTCAGGGTGACAACGCATCTGCATTTTGTTTCGTAAACTAAGAGAGATGTAGATGTATTTAGACCACAGCATCCTATTCTACAAAATAAAAATATAAAGTTAATGTAACCCATACCGTATTTTGGATATCATAAGAGGCGACAGAGGATAACAGACCAGGAAGTAGCCAGCAGCGTCTTCTTAATAGCAGCTGGAAAATTGATGAGGTTGTATACGTTACAGAGTCTGTTTTTAACATACATACATAAATACTCACGCCTGTCACCCAGAGGGGTAGGCAGTGACTGCGGACTTCCATTTGGCACGATCTTGACACACTTCTCTCACCTCCTTTACATCAATATATCTACGCATACGCACGCTCGTCGGTTAAGGGTACTCCTAATGTGGTTCAATTTCAAAATATTACCGATTTGGTCGATAAACCTTCGTCCATGGCGTCCCTTCCCGACTCAGCTGTTCACATCTGCAATATAAATTTGCTTTGTCACTCTTTACTCGTTCATTCTTTCTACATGACCAAACCACTGAAGCATTCCTTTCTTAATCCTGGTCACAACATCATCTTGATTGATTTATTGATGATTGATTTAGTCCTAGCATACTCCTTTAAGACCTCATTTCTACAGCATTTATTTTACTCTCGTGCTTCTTTTGCCACATCCAACTTTCACTACCATACATTAAAGTAGGTATTAACACCGCATTGTGATTTACCAAACGTGCCTTTTTTGACACATTCTGACTCTTCATAATAGATTGTAGAGCCCCATTCACTCTATTTCCTGCATTCACTCATTTTTAACAATGTCATGATTTTATAAAGTAACATACTTTATTCATTCAATGTCCATTTATATACCAACTCTATGTTTAATATTAACGCTGACTGAAATTAGATTTCCCCAGGCTACAAATTGCCATTGCTAGCGATCGAACCGATACCATACGAGACATTGTAATTTCCGTTCATACAAAGGAAAACACATTTGTGATATTTCTGTGGTTTATTGCGTATCACAAGATTTAATATATTGTCATATGCGTCATTTTGGCTTTTGTGTATCTATAATTATACTTAATAGAGCCTAGATATATTTAAGTTGTAGAACGAATGGATCAGCTCGACCGGGGAAGGACCACACTCTCAAAGAATGCCAGCATAAAATAACAGCTTGATGTTGTTTTGTTTTGTATGGTAGAGAAAGAAGAATCCGAAGACCCTCATAACTGTATACGTAGCGTTTGATCTTAGTCTTCAGGGGTGACAACGCGTTTGCATTTTGATTCGTAATTGAGGATAGTTGTAGATGTCTATGGTTCACAGCATCCACTTACCATCAGGTGGGTATGCTCGTTTGCCACTCTTACTAAATAAAAAAAGAATTAACCGTGTGCTGAGTGCGTTGTGATGTCTTTATTATTAGCTAGCCTTTTCAAGAAGAAAAAAGTTCAAAATAACCTGCCTGAATATCTTCCTGCTGCTCTCGGATGCATGAAGGACGAATGAACAGATTGGGTACAGCGCAGACGTGCGTACTAGGAACAGATGCGCCCGACATATCGTCGTTCAATTACGTTATTACGCGTTAACGCATGCTGTAGGAAAGCGTAAAAGACAAACAAACAACCAAAAATATTTTTTATAGGAGAGGGGGGCAAACCAACACACGGCTCACCTGATGGTAAGTGATTACCACCGTCCATGAACAACTGCAACACCAGGGCAATTGCAGATGCTTCGCTTGCCTTTTGAAACAGAATAAGTTCTTTTTATGCATCTTACCTAGTGTTCGCGCACATGTTTAGGTATTTTCTAACCTATCTTAGTACCCTTATTACTGCTCTATTATTTAACGCTCTGTACTCGTATTTAGACTAGAATTGATGTGACTGGTTTCGTAATCTCAAAAACCTCTCGTTATAAAAGACAACCCGTTCCACAGAGAAAAAAATTGAATTTTTTTTATAAAGCCTAATACTAGTTCAAATTTTACAAGTGACAAAGTGGTTTATTTTAAGTCGTTTTTTTATGATGATTTCTTATAATTACGCGAACACTACACATTGATTAAAACTATTTTTACGGATTTTATCGCATTTAATTTGAATTTTAATTATTTTTATTTTTAATAATGGTTGGGGCCATCTATCATATACGATATCCTAGACGACAACTGCCTAAACAATGGCCCCAACCATTACATCAGATTTGATAGGCCACAAATCCTCGCGAAAGAACACTGATTCCTACCAAGGATGATACGTGAGGCTATTGAAATTAAAAAACATCCTAATTTCAATAGAGAAGGAGGCTGAGTACTACCACCTGCTTGGAACCCTATAATCAATAAAATTAAAACTAAATTACTTATATATAATTATATTATTAAAACTACATTTTGCATAGATAATATAAACAATAATTAAAAAAAAAGCTGAAGGTACTCCGGGTTTAACAATGACATCGGGACGTCAGTCACCTCAGTCCCCCGATCATGGGTGCCGGAAAGCACCCGAAACGTCGGGAATTATAAATAAAAATAATTCAAATTCAAATTAAACGCGATAAAATCCGTAAAAGTAGTTTTAATCGGTTTTTAATAAAAGGGAAGCAAGTACTGAAGTATGAAACTAATTCACAGTCCAGCTGATGCTAATAAGTGGCTACTGCATTTCATGGACGGTTGAGGATTATGATGGAATGCCTAGCAGCAGAAAAATATGTATTGAAAAAATACGAGATTCGAACCCTGAATCCATCTTACCAAGTGTCAGCTATTCTGCCAAAAAGCCTGGATATCGTCAAATATACCGTGGTATAATTTCTTAATATTTATTAGTGTTCATTTTGTGCAGGTCAAATCTAACACAGCGGTTTGCTGACACAGATAGTGCAGTGCAGCAGATGGGTGACCTGCCTGTGCTTGTCTTCAAGAATCGATCCAAGCCAGTGGACGGCAACTCTTTCCTAGCCGAACTTTCAGCTTTAAGGTAAGAATCGGATTGTGTTCAAGAAACGAATAAAGAATGAGATTAGAAATGGCGAATCATCGAGGCCGTACCGTCAACATGTACAGTACCAATACCGAAAACCCGCTAATAACGGTATATCGTTATAACATTATATTGTTCGGTTACTTGTAAATCTTATATTATGAGTAAAATATTTCTAAATAATTGTATAAATAAAGAGCCGCGGTAGCTCATAATATGGTTAGCGCTGATGACCAGATCATATCAACGTTAAAAATCTTTTTGTTTCAAATAAATAGATTGACTTGGCCATCGTATGAAAACACAGTGTATCTCACAAGTAATACATATTATATTAAATTGGATTGCTTAGTGCGATTGCCAAGTCAATCTATATATTTAAAACATAAAAGATTTTTAACATTGATATGGTCACTATAAAATGTTGTTAGGTTAGCTATTTACGTAATAACTTAAAACAGAAAGACCCTTAAATAGGGACTGAATAAATTAACCGACTTGTTATTACATGGATCTCACAACTTTTTACGGTAGAAGAACTGAGTTTCTAGACTTGGATTTTTTTACAAGTTATATTTTTGCTGGCATTAGTCTTATTTTATTCAGCACTAAATGAATGCTTCATTATGATGCAAACTACGTTCTCGCATTATATCTTGTTTATGTATGTTTAATTAATTGACAACATTTCAACTTAGTCATCGGGGGTGACAATAAATCTACATTTTAATTCTTAATGGAGCAAAAAGGTTCATCCGCAATATAAGATGGATTTTGTACACATAATTCAACTTTAATTACCTATATAATTTAGTGAATACTCTATGTAAACAGTAGGTCCTCGGCGCTACTTAAAATTACATTGGGTTCAGTCTTACCACATTTTTCAAAGCTATAGAATGGAGCACAATATAAAGTCCCTCAGACCAAATTTCAGTCACGGCGACCAGTTTAAATGCAGACTAACCATCTGCGCAACACAGGATTATAGTGCCCAAGTGTATGCGCAAGCACAGATGCGGTCTCTATTTCCTTACTCTCAGCTCGATAGGACGGTAATTCGACATGATCGGAGAAAGGCCAGGCGCAGGACTAACGGCTTTATGTGATTTCCAAAGTGTAGGGATGACACACAACCAAAGTTCTAACTCTGGACTGCTACTGAGGATTTCTTGACAGAAAAACTCAATAACTGATTTTGGTTCAACCCGGGATTTGAACCCGGGACCTCATGGTCTGCAGTTGCGTTTATGACCACTGGATCATCGAGCACACAATATATGATTTATATGACGACTAGTTACCGCTATAACTTATCAAAAGTCTGGTGAACCTAGGCCTCTCCTGTTGACGGCTTCTTAGAGCAGGATGGGGATATTCGTCATAGTTCCACGCTTGGCAGGCGTAGTTGTTATCAGGACGGTGCTGCTGCCCATCTCCTGGTTGGTTTCCCTCTGTCGCCTCTTCTGACACGCAAGGGATAACATGGGGTAGTGGATATTCTTACACCTCCATGACTTGATCACGACTTGTAGCTCAGAGCTATGCTAGATGCACGCGACATGGATCGCGCATTTACTCTAATCCAATTATATTCAGAAATAATTATACGTCATAATGATAATAACAGGCGTGCCGCCCCCATAGACAAGAGACGACTTCATTCAAAAGACACGTCTTGTCTCCGTTTAATTTGGGATTTAAAATAGTTGTAGGTGCTTTTTGACATTAGTCGAGATAAGGTCGCGGGTTGCAGTCACCCGCACACGTCCCTAATTGACTGCGCATTACTCTGTCTCCGCCTCGTACCTGAGTGTTTTCTTAAACAAATTTATAATTAAAAGAGTCGAGTTTTAGCGTTTAGTATTAATAGTACTTCATTTAGAGTAACCTGTCTTTAAATTGGTAATTAAATAATATTGGCTTATATACGTGTCTCACAAATCCTTTCCTTTGATAACTTTTCAGAAGACTTTTAAGTTGACACTACCACTAGCCTACATCGTCTCGTGGGTGTCGTAAGAGGCGACAGATGGAAACAAACAGGAGATGGGCAGCTGTGTTATCCTAATAACAAGTAAAAAAGTAGATCTTAGCCTATTACTATTCTTCCACAAGGAAGTTGTGCGAGGAAGAAAACTTCTTTTAAATCGCTTAGTGGACCGTCAGTCATCCAGATGGTACGGATGGTATCGCGAGTTTGGTCTTGGTTTGGCGATGGTGAAACTGTGCGGCTGGAATTAGTCCGAACAATACCTCAGAGCACTCCCCGTGATAGATGCGATAAAATACGCAAAGAGATGCAACATCTCTTCGCAGTGCCAGTGAGTCAAGCCGAACGGAAAAAGCTCGATCGCCGACGATTCGAATTGCTCTGCGCTGGATACGATTAAATGGAAGGAGCTGGCACTGTGGAGCCCCGGCCTAGAGATGGGAACAGTATTCCATGTGCGGCCGAACTTGCACCTTATGAAGTTGCGGGCGGTGAGCCGGCATATAATACTGTTCCGCTCTGCTGAGCACGCCAAGCTTTTTAGAGGCCAATTTGGTCTTCTCTTCCAAGTGACCATGAAGCTGCACGTCACTCGATATGTCGACGCCAAGGTTTCGATACTGGCTGAGGCAAAAAGGAGAGTGCCTTGAAACTGAGGAGATAAGACGAAGGAGTTCTTTTTAGCGGTAAACGCACAAACTTGTGACTTCTGGGGAATAAACTGGACTAGATTTAGTCACCCTCAGTCCGAGATTTTGTTCAAAAAAGTCTCGACTTCAGACACAAGTACTCGGCGACGTTTTCCCCAGCTATATTGGCACGGCCGGTGTATAAAGCATTACATAATTTCGCCCTAACACTTGATTATTAATGAAAATCCTATTGCTATTTAAGTAAAACTTGTAGAACATGTTTGCCTGCATCATAGAGATTGAATAAGTGGTACAGTACCATCAATGGGTGAACAGGGTTTAGTCAAGGAGCGCTGACGTCATTAAAATTGAGAGCGTAGAGTAACCCTGATAAAAATATTGTACATTGGTCATGGATGAAATGAACATTAAGCAGTTGATGAAATACTATGCTAGCAGCCAAAGGCATTATGGCTATGTTGACTACATGTTTGATATTATATCCGATAATTTTTATGAAGCTACTGACGTATTAAGGTCGCTGCATTCGTTACGCGTTTTATTCCGGACAGAGTGGGACGTGAAATTTTGGAAATATTATTTCATAGAAAATGTACGTGATAATGTATACATTACGGATGCACGAACGGGACGGGGACGTGGCATAAACGGGACGGGAATAATATCGTCGGCAACAATGTTTACCCAGTCCCGCCCGGCGCGTCTTTCTGTGTCCCGTGCACATGCTGATTCCGTCCTATGCAGCGACCTGGCACAACGTGCAAAGACGTGCAGGAAGTCGATGGATGCAGGTGTATCAGAAACGTGCTTTGTGGCATCCCTTGGGGGTGGCCTATGTTCAGCAGCGGACTTGTGAAGAGCTGTAGGTAATGAATGAAAAAACACTAAAAATCACTTTTATCAACGCTGAACTTATGCGGACTATGATGATTTGTTTTTCAATTAAAATATTGACATAGTCCTCGCCTTATGTCGCCTCTACACGTTGGCCAACACAGTGGCGAATGGAGTGGCGAACATAATGGATGAGAGTTGGTGACGGCGTCCACACGTTGGAAGGTCGTTCAGTTTACTTCGGTTCGGGCCAATGTGCGGACGAATTTATAAGCACCGTGGCGCAGTGGCTCAGCAATGAGTGGCTGCGTCGTGCGCCGCGGGTTTGATCCCGCACGGAACAAGTATTTGTATGTCCTACAAATAATTGTTTCGGGTCTGTATGTGTATCCTTGTACAATTTATGTTTGTAAACTGCCTGCGCGATACGGGAGAAAATCCTAGTGTGGGGTTAACGTTTTTATAAAAGAATTATAAAATAATAGTGGTTATTAATGGGGCTGTAAATAGATATACGATATTATACAATTAGCTTTATTTATTCTTTACATGCATCATAAAATAGGAATAAATACCATTAATAAGAACTTAACTTATTTTAAAGTTAAAGGAGTTATAATCGATTAGTCTATGTTTTAAAATTGGGTTTTGATTTTAAAGTTTAGCAAAATATGTACTTGCATTTCTATCAGACATTTGGTGTATATAAAAAACACCTTATAATTTATTTGATAATTTAATTATTTTTTGAGAAAGACAAAAACAATAGCAATAAATATAATTAACACTGACTTAATAATAGGTACTAATTATAACTTAGAACATAAATGAAAAACTCATGACAAGGAAAGTGGCTCAGGACCATGCTTTGCGGCAGTCTGTGGAGGAGGATGTTCAGTAGTGGACTTGTGAACAGCTGTAATGATGATGATGATTCGAAATCTTGCACGATTAAATTATAAGCAGTCGACGTTTTTTTTATAGGATAGGGTGACAAACGAGCACACAGTTCACCTGATGGTAAATGGTTGCTGTGGGCCATAGACATCTACATCTATCCTCGATTACGAATCAAAATGCAGATGCGTTGTCACCCGTGAGGACTAAGATGAAATGCCTCGTTTCCTTTAAAAAGGGTCTCTGGTTCTCTACACTCACTATACGAAACACAGCATCATTAAGCTACTATTTTACGCTGATATTCTGTGAGAGCGTGGTCCTTCCCCGGTCGAGCCGACCTTCGTGCTGCAACTATACTTCTAATATAATTGCATGGTTCTACCACGTATAAACGACGTGCTTCATTTTTTTTTCATTTTAAAATTGTTCTCGTAATAATCTGATTGTAAAAAAAACGTTAATTTTTTTTGATAAATAGCTTATTGATTAAAACAAATGTTCAATAATAATTAAATCGCGCTAATTAAAGTAGTATGAATGTTTAAAGTTGAAATTGGCACTAAAAGGCTGGTAATTGGGGCATCCACCCTACAAATCTTGAATCTAAAATTTAAATCAGATGCGTGTAATCACTCTGGGAGCTTGTAGCAAACTAAACTCGCTCCCAACGTGTGGACGCGGCGACCAAACTCTGCCAACAATCCTTTGATCTTTTGTAAAAAAACCGACACCACACGGATCTCGCGCCAAGTTGCGGGCCATCGTTTCAATACATACCAATGAAGCCCAAACACCCCGTCTACACGTTGGCCAATGCTATTGGCCACTACATTCGCCACTGTGTTGGCCAACGTGTAGAGGCGCCGTTACGTTACTTACGCATGTAGACAGCCGCATCAGTGTATCGACACGTGTACAATTTGATGGTATGCGTAAAGGCAATGCACACAAAAACAAATGCTGTAGTGTGCGTATATAGTGACGTGACTCAATTTTGCATTTGTAGTGAAGTATATAGAAAGTGTGTTTTCGTGTTTTCATCCCCCCCCCCCCTGAAAATGAGAGACTTTTTGTTTAGGAATTAACGCGCATGGCCTCTCCAGTTGGTTGAATACTCAAAGAAGTTAAATAATATAAGTAATTTTCCTTTACTAAGTCCTTTATTATATGAATATCCCCAAAGAAGCACCTAATTCTATTACTTAGAACTAGCTATGACCCGCGACTTCGTCCGCGTGGATTAATAAAAAATGTTTGTTTAGTTCGCAGTTTACAGAAAGTTAATAATTCTCTGTCCCTTGTAAAGTAATACCTACGCTAAGGGTAATTTATTCTTAATCAAGAATAAATGCAGATTGCTATTGGCCACACCATCCTATTACCATCAGGTGGATGTGGACACGGGCTCGTTCATTGTATTGTGTCATGTCTTATTCTATAAAAAAAATTCTAACCTCAATCAAATTTTATGCAAAAGATAGAAAGCAAATTGTTTTTGGTACTGCATATATCGAAATATCGATACGATTTAGGGACCTTCAAGAAACAAGCTCACACCTTTTTATAAGGCCCGTAAGGCACCTGCGATTCCCCTGGTGTTGCAGTTGTTGTCGAGCGGCGGTCGACACTTTCCATCAGGTGAGTCGCATCTGCGTTTGGCGCTTTTTCTATAACAAAATCGTAAGTTGTTACTGTAGAAAATATCGAATAGAAGGCGTAATACTTGAAAGCAATTTATGTTGTTAAAGAAGTTAGATTGCAAAGAAAATTACGGGAAGTAAAGTTAGCGAGCAACGGACATGGCGTGATTAATGTCCCCGTCAATATCTCGGATCGTTAAGATATAAATAATTTATTTATTTAGTGCCAACTTTTTAATAATCATATAAAAGTTATTCATATGATAAAATGAACATAAACAAATTTATAAAAAAAATACTGTTTAATACATTCAATAGTTCAATTGATTCACTTTTTTATTCAGGGTCGGCTCGACAGGACCACGCTCTCACAGAATACCAGAGTAAAATAGAAGCTTAACGCTGCTGTGTTTCGTATGGTGAGTGTAGAGAACCGGAAACCATTTTTACTGAAAATGCGGCATTTCGTTTTAGTACTCGCGGGTGACAACGCATCTGCATTTCGATTCGTAATCGAAGATAGATGTAGATGTCTATGGGACTCAACAACCAATTACCACCAGGCGAACCGTATGTTCGTTTGTCACCCTTACTTGTGAAAAAAGTGCGATTTACCACCTAGGGCTCCGTTGCCACTTACCATTAGGTGGGCACTGGCTCTGTTATTCCTTTTTTTACTATAATAAGTT